TTATGAGTGAGTACATACTATATTTGTCTTTCTGGTTTTGGGTTACCTCACTCTGAATGGTTTTTTCTAGTACTGTACATTTGCCTGCAAATTTTAGGATGTCATTGTTTCTTACTGCTGAGCAGTACTCCATTGTGTAAATGTACCACATTCTCTTTATCCATTCTCCAGTTGAGGGGCATCTAGGATGTTTCCAAGATCCAACTATTACAAATAATGTTACTATGAACATAGTTGAGCAAATGTCCTTGTGGTGTGAATGTGCCTCCTTTGGGTATATGTCCAACAGTGGTATTTCAGGGTCTTGAAGTATGTTGATCCCTAATTTTCTGAGAAATCACCACACTGATTTCATATCTTCTCCAAAGTGAGTTGTCATTTGTTTTATTGATCTTTGCCATTCTGACTGCTGTAAGATAAAATCTCAAAATAGTTTTGATTTGGATTTCCCTGATGACTATGGATTGTCTAATCATGGTTTTGTTTGGGTTTGGGTTTTTATGGGGCAATCAAAATGTTCTGAAACAATGATAATATTACTGCCATTGATTTGTATACATAATATGCAAGCATTATGATATTTAAATTATACCTTGAAAAGGTTAAGAAATTGGTGTGTGTGTGTGTGTGTGTGTGTGTGTGTGTGTGTGTATTCAGTGCTTGCCCTGTGTTCATAACATAAATTATGGTATTTTGATTGTGAAAATCCATCTGCTCTGGTTTCACATGGAAATGCAATTGCAGTTTGAAGGTATTTCAGACACCCTTCCTAAATTTTCCCTGAATCTTGTCTGGCTTCATCTATCCCAGGGGAATTTCACTAATACAGAATGTTAAGAACTGCCATTCTTGAAGAACCTTGATCCAAGGTTCCTTTATTATATCCATGTGTCCCCGGATGATTTTCTTCACAAGCTTTCAAGCATTTTTATCCTAACTTAACCCTTTAATTCATTTATTAATAACTATCATATACATGACACTGGGGACACAATGATGGAATATTTTTAACTCCACCTTGGGGCAGCCCCAGGGTCAGAGACTAAGCAGTATATTACATTTCTTCCAAAGACTCATTTCCTGAAAGCCTCCTACCAGGAGGGACCCAGCTATAAAATGGCTACTGGTGCCTACATTTAAAAGACTGTTTTTCCCCTGTGTTTCCCCAGACACAGTGGTTCTAGAGTTATTCTTGAAGGGAAGATCATTACTGCTTTTTAAATAGATGTGGAGACAGCCTTTTCCATCTTCTGTCAAATCTTTTCACTTAGGCTCTGAAATAACGGAATGTCCTCAGCTTTACAAAGACCTTCATCAGCTGCAATCCCTTCATTTTTTTCTTTGTGACTGTTCTTTGTAAGCAGTCAAACCAGATGATTGGCCACCTGGAGAACAGACACAATGATTTGTTTTCATCCTCTACTAACTTAAGCATTTACATATTGCGTTAGGTAGTGGTTACAAACACTCCTGCAACACACACACACACACACACACACACACACACACACACACACACACACACGCTTTCCCTCTAAAGCCCTGCATGATGCCTTCTGTAAGATACCTGACCAAATTTCTTTCAACAAATAGCTGAAAGAAAACCTGTTTTCCTTTTTTTCCAATTTGTAATTGTGTGTGTGCATTATGTATATGTGTAACACTACATGCCATGAGGGGGTCATGTCAGAATGTAACTTTGAGGAGTCTGTTCTCTCCTCCTCTGGAGCCTTTACATGGGTTCTGGGCATTGAACTCGGGTCCCCAGGTTTGTGCAGCCATGCTGAGATATCTTGCAACTTTGGAGGGAGGGGTGCTCTGTAACTTGATTGTTGTGGACACAATTTACTCATACTTGTTAAAATTCACTGAACCTATAAGTGTAATAATTGGGGAGTTTTATTTATGAAAAATCATATATCAATAAAACATCCTAAATAATAATATTGTTTAAAGTATGTATATGTCGTTTATAACTATTGCCCTATAAAAACAACATAAACTTGTATTTCTGCATCTGCCCTTCTTCAGCTATGAATCACAATAACTCAATTGCACCCCACTTACACAAGCCCATTTCTTGCTACTAATAAAGTAACCATATGAGACCAGAATGCATGGTATGTCATTATGTCATATATATTCTTGTTTGAATCAGACAGATCAAAAATGCATTTTACTTTTGCCTGGGGACATGTAGATATAATAAATGAACCTCGGGTCAGGGGAAGAGATATTCTTCAAGGAGAACATTCTGTATTAGTGAAATTCCCCTGGGATAGATGAAACCAGACAAGATTCAGGGAAAATTTAGGAAGGGTGTCTGAAATACCTTCAAACTGCAATTGCATTTCCATGTGAAACCAGAGCAGATGGATTTTCACAATCAAAATACCATAATTTATGTTATGAATACAGAACAAGCACAGAATACATCAGAATACACACACACACACACACACACACACACACACATATTTCTTAACCTTTTCAAGGTACCCTTATTTTACTTTTCATGGTTACTTTTAACATCACTATCCTAGGGGAAATTTTTCTCTTACCGGGCTGCTTTGTTGCTGTTTCTTCTGCTGCTGCTATTCATTTGTTGTTGCTCATCTTGATCTGTTGTGTGTTTGCAAGAGGGTAACCCAATCCAGCCTTGTACTCTCCTCATAGCCCAGGATGACCTTGAACTTGTGATCTTCTTGGCCTCCTGAGTGCTATAACTGCAAATGTAATATACCAGTCTGGCAGTAGCGGTGTACACCTTTAATCACAGCACTCGAGAGGCAGAGGCTGGTGGATCTCTGAGTTCAAGACAAGCCTGGTCTACAGTGTAAGTTCCAGGACAACCAAGGCTACACAGAGAAAATCAGTCTCAAAAAGCCACAAATAAAATAAATAAATAAAACGCAAATGCAGTATACCTGGAAAGGTTCTTCACATAGCATCTATGTGTCGTAGTCATATATCTGTAATAAGGTGTATTAGCAGCATAATAGCAGTTGCTCTGGGTTCTGAATCTTAGTCACTTGAAGACGAAATGAGGTCAATTCAAATGTGTAACTGTCAGTGTTCTTTATTTTTTCATGTTAATATTCATTTTTCTAATACAGTTTGTTTCAGCCCCCCTCGTTAAAATAGCTTCTTTCTATTTGTTAAAGTCAGTGACCTTAGATGGGGAGGTCTCCTTGTGCATCTTTTATTCTGCTCCATTGGTCCATCACTCTGAGTATGGTGGAGGTCTTTGCTCACCCTTCATTTCGCTCCATTGCTCCAGCACTGGGATTGTGAACAGCACTGATTACTCAAAATTCAAGAAGCATAGAAAGTGTTCAGTATAAGATCTCCAACATGGCTCTTTGTTTCAAACTAGTTTATCTAGGTCTTTTATATTTTAATATATATTTTAAAGTCATTTTCCATTTCTACAAAAAAAATACCAGAGTCTAGTCAGGTTTTAATTGGAATCATATGAATCTGTATCTAACATTGGAGCCAGCTGATTTTAAGTATTCAATCTTCTTTGTGAATGGTACAGTGCCCGTTTTGGTACAGTGGCCTCTGTGTTTTTATGTTTTTCAGTGGTGGCATGGAATTTGTTCGTATTATTTTTTGGTACTTCAAGATTATAATTTAAATGTTTTACTTAAATTTTATTATAATGTAAATATATTTACATTTACTAAATTGATCACTAGATGATTTTAAGCAAACTTTTGAGGTTAGAAATTTGAGTAGTGCAAACTGAACACTAAAGGAGATGTAACCCTAAGAAATTTGTCCTAGCAGAGAAGAAACTATGACAGTCAAATCACTGAATAACAAAGGTAAAGGAATTACCACTGCTGTTACTTCCACATTTACATCTGAGCATGGAAATCACTGATTTGCTTGCAACAAATAACACAAATAGATTCATTGTAGTAGATATACGCAAACATTGGCAGAAAGATTGGCCTTGAGTGTATAATCCGGAGACCTAATCTTGAACTCATCAGGATACAGAGAAACTATATAGTCTTCAGAAACTAGGCCTTAACAACATTTTCTTCATTTCATTGTTACCCAGTGTGTGTGTGTGTGTGTGTGTGTGTGTGTGTGTGTGTGTGTGTGTGTGTGGGTGTGTGTTTTGAGACAGGGTCTCACTGTGTAGCTCTGGCTGGCCTGGAACTCACTTTGTAGACCAGACTGCCCTGGCTCTGCCTCCTGGGTACTGAGATTAGAGGCATGTACCACGGCACCCAGTCCCATTATCTATCTTGTATTTAGTATTTGAAGAACAAAACACTGTGCTATTATGTCCTAAAGAGCTATAACAAAGGCCCAAATGAGAAAGAAATGCACAGACTAGTGCTGTAAGTAAAATGTAAATTTAGCATTTTACTATCATTGTTTTTGTAATTACAGCAAAAAAATCAATTTATAGGCATTTTGCTTTAGTACTAGCCTCATGCTGAAATTTTAAAGAATCGTTAAACAGAACTTTAGTGAATTATAGCTAAAGAATTCAAATTTCATCGATCCAAAGTACAAAAGGCCTGGTCGTTTTTCAGGGGATGAGGGTGAACACCTACTGCTGACATATAAGTTCCTATTAATAGGAAATCTTCTGGAAATTGTTCTGCTAAAAACCTGGCAAATTCAAAACTATGACAGATGGGCTGAAATTTAAGACGTGTGCCTGAAGACTTTATGCAAAAGGTTATATAAAAAAAATACTCCTAGCCGGGCATTGGTGGCACATGCCTTTAATCCCAGAACTCGGGAGGCAGAGGCAGGTGGATCTCTGTGAGTTCAAGACCAGCCTGGTCTACAGAGTGAGTTCCAGAAGAGCCTCCAAAACAGAAACCCTGTCTCGAAAAACCAAAAAAACAAACAAACATGCAAAAAACAACACTCCCATTTACTGGTTATGAGTTAATAGCTGGTCATTGTAACTTATAAGCTGCTTGAAAAAATACTTCCTTTTTAATTTGGTCAATTTCCTCTGCTTTTAGGTTTGATTCTCATAAAGGTTTCTGGTGTCAGCTGTTGGAAGAAGGTAAAACAAAATGCCTTGGAAAGAGTAAAGGAAGAAAGTATCCACCGATGGACTCTGATGTAAGTATAGAACCTGAAGATGCAAAATGTAGAAATGATAAATAATAATAATGCCAGTTATTTTCTTAGATAGCTAAGAACAAAACTAAAAGTCAATGGGTCCCTTTCTGCTGTCAACTCCACTTTGTGTCACAGAGTTGTCTCCTGCACAAGGCACTCTGGGGTGAGGGCCATTCCTGGCTACAGCAAGAAGAAGTGACATACCTACCCTAACAAATATTCGTTATTCATCTGGAGGAGGGAGAGAGAGAGAGAGAGAGGAGGGGGATGGAAACAAGGTTCAAAATTTGAAAATTACTAAATTTCATTGTATAAACATATGAAAGTTGTCAAACAATTTTAAATGGGAAATGAAAATTACAAAATACAGAATACAGTATTTTAAAGAAAAACAATGGTATTAAAATAGTATAAATTGCTAGGAAGGAAAGAAGGGAGGAAGGAAGGAAGGAAGGAAGGAAGGAAGGAAGGAAGGAAGGAAGAAAGGAAGGAAGGTTAAGGGTGGAAGAGGGAGCTTAATGGGTAAAGGATTCTGCACCGAATCCGAAGACCTGACTGTGATCCTAGGGCACATACAGTAGAAAAGGGAGAACCAACTGCTGTGAACTGTCCCCTGACATCCTCCCATGTGCCATGGCATGCACACGCACACACGCGCACACACACACACACACCCTAAAATAAATAAAATGCAAAACAAAAATTAGAAGTGGTGTTTGTGTTTCAGGGTATCTATGTTGGTAGTTTTGGCTTTCATTTGCATAACTGACATCTGTCTTACAAGAATGAAAGAAAGCAGAATTCATGGTTGTAAATCTGAAAACCAGGTACTATCTGACTACAGACAAATGAAAGCTGCATACAATTGCACTGCTGAAGATGTCAACTAAAACCAAGATAAGAAATGTATGGACCAGAAATTGAAAAAATGTTTCATGATTTCAACGTCAAATGATTCTGTGGAACCTACATTATAATGCTAACTGATATGAGATACTAAGCTTTGAACTATTAATATGCTAGTGGAATGAGACAATTCACATATTCCCAATTGTCTAGCAGACCAACACAGAGTGTAGGCTTTCAGAAACGGACACATGCATGTCGTTACCCAATACCATGTTTATTCTGCTTACGACAGTGGCGTGGTGAATACCTAAAGCTGTCCTTTTCACGGTTCCTGAGTTTGTACTTGTGGCATGTATTTTTCCTTTGTGCTCATTTTGTATGCACTAACATTTATTCATAGTATATTTAGCATATATTTTAACTATAAAAATATAAGTTGATTACTATGATTGTTTTAGAACTCAGAAATTGAAATATTGGGGATTTTTTCTCCGTACAGTATTAAATACATTATGTTAATTGACAATCCGGAGATGGTCAAAATTTCTCAGCAATCTGCATTATGTAACAACTTTTTATCCTTAAAGGTTTGGAGGACAACGCATAGTGCCAGTTTGATAGACAGGACCTTAGTCGGAGCACAATTAAGAAAGACCATTGTTTTCATAAACAGAGTGCTTTGTAAGAATCCTAATTCTGTTTGAGTGACTATCAAAACACACCATCAGATCACTATGAAAACAGTCAGAATACACTAAAACATGTTGAAAGGTAATTTCCCTCATTGTTTCAATAAAAAAATAAATACATTAATTTTCACATCAAAGCTACTTCCATGTATTATCATTAGAAGGCATTAAGATGTATCCTGGTGTTTTATTTCACTCTGTTCTAAAATAGACAAAATTGAGATACCTATAAAATTGGGGCTAGTCTAGATTAATAAGAAAAACTCAGTTTTCCAGAATATCTACTGTAGATGCCAACGAGGTTACTCTGTAAATACATGCTGAGTTTACCTACAGGAATAAAGTGTCTGGCTCTGTGCAAATAGTCTCTAAATGGGAGGATCCACAAAGGGAAACACAAGGATGTAGCCCAATTGGAATAGCAAGCTTTTGCCACTGCGGTAGTCACCTCTCCTATGGCAGACTCCAGACAGAAAGCATCGCAGAGTATGACCCACACAGTCTGGTGCTTCACGCAAATATTGACCCATATGTGGCGCATGAGGCACTTATTTTAGCAGAGTCAACATGCATGAAATCTATTTTAGTAAAATGAAGTGCGTGTTTCTCCCCCTTCGCACTCAGAGCAGAGCGTTTCTGTCCAGCTACTACCGGGACCACAACGTGGAGCTCTCCAAGCTGCTGCACAGGTTGGGGCAGCCTTTGCCTTCATGGTTGAGACAGGAGCTGCAGAAGGTGAGGTAGCATGGAGAAAGCAGCTCAAATCTGTCCATGGACTGGCACGTACCTCCTCCAGAGCCAGCAGAAGCTACCAAAACGCTGTCAAACGCATACCTCTTCGTCAAGAAAAAGAAGCAAGGTTCCTTCCATGTGCTGGCATGTGGATAATTGTGGGGTGGGCATATAAAGTACCTTTAAGAAACTTCCGCAACTAATGGCCTTCCACTCTGTACTTGTGTGGAAACCTAATACCAACCAATGTAAATTTAAAAAAAAAAAAAGAAAAGAAAAAACAAAACACCGACACAGACCTGTTCCATTTCACACTAATATTTACAATTTTGTATATCATCTAAAGTTATATTTCTGTAGATTTCTGGACCACTGTTTGACCGTAAAATGTTTTTTTAATTGATTCTGTGAAGTATCTTCTATGATGATAAATGTCACAGTGTAAAATTCCAAAAGCATGAAAAACAGAAAGGCTGCCAGCATAGGCCATGGCAGTGAGACCGAGACTGGAAAGTTATTTATGGGTGTTGTCTCCACTAGACACAAACACAGGATAAAACTAGAGCAAAGGCGCTGACTCCTTGTGCTCAGCCCAGTGTGCTTATGTAGCTATGCACCGCAGACTTGGCAGACAGTAAACAGAAACCTTTATTACATCAAAATAGTGAATGGCGATGGAAGAGCACTGACTAAATCCTCTAAGAGAGAGAGGCAGTGATCATCTACAGGTATGCCATTGAGACCTCTACGCGTTCCGCTCTAAGCTGTGGGTCCATCCGGGTCACCCTCGGTTGCAGAGAACTGTGAGCAGTGTGTAGGAAGTGTCCTATCCGAGTCACCTCGACTTCTAGATGTGCAGGGCAGCTACTGAACAAACTGTAAACTAAGGACTGTTTCTTGGGGTGCTTTATCGAAGCACTCAGACTTAAATTATTGAAAAATTGCATTTTCCAGGTGATCCCAAAGGAAATTATGCAATGTACAGATTTAAGTGGAAAAGGAATTAATTTGCAAATTGTAATCTAATATTTGAAACGTTTCTTGTGCTACAAGGTGGAGACAGCTGAGCAGGTAAAGTCCAATGTTTGATAATATCTCCCGTATCTTCCACATCCCTACCCTACAGTGAGCGTAGTCAAATGTATGAACTATCTACAAAAACAGGCACAGAAGTGCAAAGGTAAGCACGACTCTTGAAATCCATTCAATTTCAATTAGACGTGCAATGAGTCAGGAATTCAAAACAAGAGTATAGTCGATCCTACTTTCCTGTGTTAATATTTACTTAATTTTGTATTGTAATTGACACATATGTAAATATTAAGTAGTACCTCCCCTGTTGTGACTACACAAGCTCTTATAAAGTATTTTACAAGATATGTTTAGAAAAAATATATGCAAGAAAGTCAATGGCCTAAAGATTTTGTGCATTATAGTGCACAAAACCATACTCTTTCAGTTTCTTACCAGTTAGAAAACAAAAGGGACATGCTTCCATTCACTGTGTGTTTCCTTATACACCGTGTATTTCCTTATACACATCGCCATTAGCGATTTGTCTGTTTAAGGTTTTTCTGTGTTTTATGTACTCAAAGAATACAGAAAGAATTGAACAAACAACCACATTTTAAGAGAACCCTGACTGAGAAGCAAAAGCAAAAGACGGAGAAATCGGTCTTCACCCTTACTGCTGAGTCTTCAGAAGTTGTCACCTGCCAAACCCAGCAGGACAATCATCCCTCACTTCCATGACCATTAATTTAAGAAAATTGGCTCAAGGGGGTCATGAGACCCAGCAGCTCCAGCTGTTACTGTCTCACTGGCGATGGTGTCTCAGCTCGTAAAGGGAGGGAGGAAATAAGTTGACATATGTCTCCACATTTGAACCTCTAGATAAATTGGCTACTGACATCTTTAGTCTAGGTAGACAGTGCCTTTAAAATAAATGGCAAAAATAGCACTTATAATGAATCAGATAAAAAGAGAGAGGGTACCAAGACCTGTTCACTCACAAGTACATGTCAGATGCAGTGTCGGAGAGCAATCCTTTGAAAGGGTTTTGGCCACTTCGCATGTCAAAGAGACAGCTCCAAATTCTAGAGGACACCCACAGGCTTCACACTGTGAGCTCCAGCTGGCCATTATGCTATCCTGAAAGTAACAGAGATCTATGAGAAAAGAATGAGAGAGAACATGATTTCAAACTAGCTTTGTATAGAATTCTCTTTTTCATTACTTGTAATATGAGACTTCCTCAGGAAGAAATGAAATGGTTATTTCAATGTTTATAGCTATAATATTCTTGTCATTCACATTGAATGGAAATTATTGGGAACATTTTTTTTCCTCTGGGTTTAAAAAAAAACCTTCAATATAATTCAAAAAGTGGCATGATACCTCATATGTATAACAATAAACTCTGATAAGAAAATGAAGATGTTGGGCCTGGTGATTTTAGATAATGAGCAGGTATTTGTTTTGCTGGGTCTGGGGGTGGAAATGGGACACGGTCAGATTTCAAAGGCACACTATTATGATTTAAAGTGGAAAGGTAATTGAAAAGCTTAGTTGGCAATGAGGAATTTTTGTTCCGGTTTTGCCTACTGTGGTTTTACTTGTCTCCTAATAGAACAAAGCTGCAGTTTTCAAGACACTCCTGGGCCCTTTTCTCTCTGTAGCATTTCAAGAGATGTGAACTAGTCCCTTTCACAAAAATCTAGAAAATGATCTCTGCAAGAAAAACACAAAATGAGGAAAGGAGTTGGACTTGTATCGTTCTCCAAGTTTCTCTGCTTGGATCTCTTTCTCTTCAAGACACTAGGTTTTCTTACACTACAATCCCTCCGACCCCTGTATTATTAGTACCTGGAATATAACTTTTTTCCAAATGTGTGATGACACAGGTTACGTCTGCTTTAGGATCAGTCAATGAACCCACCCATCAGTATTCATGATTGAAAATAGTAATACTGTGTGCTTTAGGAAGATCAGCCCTGCAGCTTGGAAGCACTCACATAAGCAATGACTCATTAATGAAGGGGCACTGAACCAGAGATGCCAATATATTTCTTCAATTTCAGCTTTCACTCTGTAGGTGAATTCTCTTCTGTCATTGTTAACAACACCATAGTGTACTGTGTTTATGTGTGCATGCATGCATGCGTGTATGCGTGCATGCTTGTGTGTGAGTGTGTGTGTATGTGTGTGTGTGTGCGTGTGTGTGTGTGTGTGTGTGTGTGTGTGTGTGTGTGTGTGTGTGTGTGTGTTATCCTATTCCTCTGGAGAATCCTAACTGATACATAGTAATGAAAGACTTGGTTAGACTATGGCAAAGGAGTATCTTTTCCATTTTTTTGAAACTGTAATTCTTCCTTCTTTAAGAGATCTTTCTAAATAAGTCATTGACATGTTGCTGGTTCTAACTTTAGTGATTTAACAATCTTTATCCTGCAGGTTAAACTAACAGAAACTCACAGGTTCTTCTTGTCTTTGTCATACCTCCGAAACACCCTGTAACTCTCAGACAGTTAGGAATCATTGTACGGGAAACATCCTCTGTGGTTGACAATTCTCAAGAAATTATTTTTGTGTTGTCTTGGACATCCAGTGCTTTCACTTACTTTAGACAAGAGATGCTTCAATCCTGTGAAGCCAAACCATGAATTTACCCTTTGGCAATAAAGAAAAGTGTGGTCAATTTTAAATGAAGTTGGCTCAACAAGATTAACTATGATTTCTGGGTCTTTCTGGAGAGGAGAGCATATGAGTTAGTAGGTTCAGGAAAGTATCTTGTCCTCCCCAATGTAGATGACACCCAAACAAAAGATAGATGGGGAGTTCTTGCCTCCCTGGCTAAACTGCGACAGCTCCCGTTTTCCATCTGTCTGGGGTTTGTGCCAATGCCCCCTATGGTTCTCAGGCTTTGACATCAGAATGAGTTACAGCAGTCTCCTGTGTTCTGGACATAGATCAAAGGACTGCTTAGCTGGTACAAGAATGTGAGTAAATCCTTTACTATGCCCTGTGGTGATTTGAATGAGAAATGTCTCCCATGGGCTCATATGGGCTGCTATCATTTGAGGAGGTTATGAGATTTTTTTAGGAGGTGGAGACTTGCTGGAGTAAGCACATCACCGGGGCCAGGCTTTGAGAGTTTAGCTTGTTTCCAGTTGGCTCTCTGCTTCCTGGGTGTTACCTGAGGTGTGATCTCCCATCTTCTGCCTCTGGCTGCCATGCCTCACCCATCACGTAGACTCTCCCTCTGACTCTGTGAGCCCAAATTCTTTCTTCCACTCTTTCTCCTATTAGTTGCTTTTGGTCTTGGATTTTTATCACAGCAACAGAAAAGCAACCAATATAATATATAGTCATAATATGCACTGTGTTATATTTAGGATGTGTGTGTGTGTCAGTTGTGTTTCTCTGAAGAAACCTAATATATACAATGTCACGCTAATTCTAAGGAAATATCTGTGGAGGAGCTTATGAAGTCTCATACTTGCTATCCAGTATACCTATCAATCAAAAGTCACTTCTTACCATTTAATACAACCACTGGTTCCTTCCATTTGTTCTTACCAATTTTGGTACAAGAGAATCCTATATATGTTTAGTGTTCTTCCTAAATATTAGAATCAAATTCATGCATCTATTCCTTCATATATTAAAATTATTTTACCTTTTCTAACACTGTCTTCCATTAATCCTACGACCTCCCTAATCTTTGAGTGTCTATCATTTGTTATATATTGCCAAGAGAAATAAATGCAAAGATCTGTTATCTACTAAACTTGGAACTGGCTACAGGTCAACAGCTTACTTAGGCAGATCTCCTAGAGGAGAGGAATCATGAACAGACATTCACTTGCAAAGTTCCACTCAAATATCTTGTTTACTCTTACGTTAGGATTCTCTGGAGAAATAGCATGGGAAGGGGGAAGCTCTCAGAAAGAAACGGCACCTTCCACTGAATCTCTACAAAGCCAGTCAATGATTAAATCTTCACTGGTTGTGGAGAAATTGAAGTGTTGCTGATCTAAAGCCTAATTGCAATTGTTATGGGCGGTCTTTGACCCCCTAATAGGCATTTCTTGCCCACTTCTGTGTCTGACCTAACATCCTGTGACTTAACTAAGAAAAGTTTTTGGAATGTATTAGCAAAAACCCAACTCCCACCAAGCAAAAGGTTAAGAGTGTCATCATATGACATTTGGTGCCTACAACGGAGATTTCCCCTTTCCTGTCACCACCTACTTAATGTTTCCACCTGAGAGTTTGAAAAGTGCCTTGACTTCTGACTGTCTTTGTTCTGTTACCAGAGTGGAGCAAGGAATTCGGAATAACTTCAGTCTGTGTCCTCAGGTTATGTTCACTCATATGTGGCTTCATAATAAACTCTCTTACCACCTTTAGGTGAGAATTGTGGGTCGTTTTTGTTTTGTTTTGTTATTTGTAATGATAGTATAGAATAGATAGATACATATAGATATATAAAATAGTTACACATATTCATTTACTTTTATAATTTTATATAAAAAGATATAGAACAAAGGTGAGAAAATTACTCAGTAGGGCACTTGCCTTGCAAACATGAGGTCCTGAGTTCAAACTCCGGCACCCACATAAAAGGGAAGGATGGTAATGTACTCTGTAATCTTAGTGCTGGAGAAGGCAGAAATGAGAGGATCCATGGAGCTCGTTGGCAAACCAGTCTAAAAAAATTAATGTGCTCCAATTTCAGTAGGAGACTTTGTCTCAAAACATAATATAGAGAACTACTGAGAAAGACACCCAACATTTATACCTCTGGCCTCCATACACTTACATTCATATATACAAAAGCATGTGTGAGCACTCACACAGACATGCATGCGCATGCTTGCACACATACACACACACACACCTACATACATCCATACACTGCATGCAAGAGCTCTAAAGTATTATGTTCATTCGAGCCCTAAGAGGCAGCCCAGCAATGGCATAGATTCCAGTCTGGTTGGATGTAGAGCATCCAGAACAGATCAGCTTCTAGCCTCAGCAACTAAGCAGAGGTGATTTAACCTTCCTCCACATGGGCTGAACTTTTCCAACCTACTGATATCAATGCTCACCCTTCCCCTCCCAAAAACAACAGCTAGCCAGCCAAGCTGACCAAGAATATGAGACATCATGATTTACCTAAAATTCCCCTTTCAAGGAAGTAAAGCAGATTTCACTGATAGAAGTTTGCAGTGGTTTAAAGTTCCCAAGATTGTTGAGAAGAGTGTGTTTCCCACACTTTATGTTACAGAAGACTAAATAGAGAGATTAGAGGAATTTTCAAAGTACACTGACTTCACGATAGGTTTTACATGAAAATTTCAGTATTAAGCCTCTTGGTTATGAGAGAAAGCATTAAGTAAAGAAAATGACTGCCGTCTATATTTCTGGGCCAAATGTCCTGTTCAATCAGCAACTAAAATAGCAAGCCAACTTTGCTCTGAAGCATTATGCATGGTTTACAGATTTGGACCTGGGAAGATTCATCTTTTTTTCCCTCTACTTGGTAAACAGCATTATGACCCTAAATTCAGCTTTCTTTCAAGTTTTAACGGTTACTAGAGATTTTAAAGTGAACGATGGGTTCCAATAGTACCCATTGTCTCAACTCTGCCACCCATCCCAATATATCAATTAAAGAGAGTTGTGGGCATGGTTAAGTTGTAGAGATTTATTCAATGTGGTCACACATTGATTTAGTGACTGACAAAGATGTTCAACAACATCCAAGTTCATTTTTAGGGTAATGACATAAGGTTTAGGTTTGAGTAGAGAACAAAATGGAGTAGAGGAAAGGTGGTGACAAGAGATATGGCTAATTAAGCAGTGCTGAAGAATTATGGTCATTGTTCATCACTCCTCAGCAGTTAGGAGCACTTGCTGCTCTTGCAAAGGACCCATGATTGGTTCCTAGCACCAACACTGGGCAGGTCACTACTGGAGTTGGAGCTTATAATTCCAGCTGACACCTCTGACCTCTATGAGCATCAGCACTCACATGTGTATACATACACAGATGTACACAGACACATATGTGGAGGGGGGGAGAAAACCCTAAGTGAATGTGTATTATTGGCAAGGATCAATGAATGGTGTAGACGCATAGGTGAGGCTCAGGGACATGGCAAAGCCTTTCTCTGGCCCAAGTGCAAGAATTTATGACTGATTGAACAGTGTGTGCAAAAAGTTGCAACTGCAGCTTCGTCTTCCCAGATGACTAAAACCTGGGACTGCCGCTCTACAAAGACCTCCTACCAAGACTAGCTAACCCTTCCTTTTCTTACTATTCATAAGAAACTTGATTTGGAGTCAGTGTGTGGTTGATTCTGAGTCAATGTGTGGTTAGTGCTGCTCCATCAAAGTGAGCACAAGTGTGTCTGTGTGTCTGTGTGTG